AAAATGTTCAAACTGACTCTGTCAGAGTTGATCAATTTAAATGAACGCGTCTCTGTTCATGACAGTTTCAAACATATATGATGTTGTTTCTTCTGAACATTGATGAAGAAACTTTACATATATTTACATATAACAAAATAAATGACAAACTACGCAAACTAAATATAATTTTAACTCAATTTCTTTACTGTATTATGTTTGTACAAAGTAATAATAATGATAAAGAAGCACAGAAGTTTATGATCATATCCAAATAAACAAAATGAGAATGAAGAATGTGAGGATTTTTTCCCCCTTTATGATCGTACAAACTAATGATCATTTTTACAAAGGCTCAAAAGTTTATCATTTATGATCGTGTCAAAATAAACCTCAATAAGAATGAAAAAAATAAAAATAAAACAAGTCAGGTTTTTGTTTGTTTTATTTTATGATCGTACAAACTCATAAAACTGATAAAGAAGCACAAAGTTGATGTTTCCTGGTTCCTCGCGCGCGTCTCCTTGATCCTCACCTGCTCCGAGTCTTGAGCGCGTGTGAGAAAAACCCCAAACTGACCCCGCCCCCTCGAGTCCCGTGGCGCACGTTTGGAGAGCGGAGCGCACCAGAGCGCACCGGAACACGCACCGGGAGCACGCACAGGGAGAACACGGAGCACGGAGCACGGAGCACGGAGCACGGAGCACGGAGCACGGAGCACGGAACACGGAGCACGGAACACGGAACACGGAGCACGGGGGACGTCACGGGGGTTCGGGTGTTCGGGGCCCGGCGTGAGGAAGATGAGGCCCGGTGCTCGGAGTCTGCGGACGGATTCATCCCGAAACTTTCCCCGCGATGAGTAACGGCGTGACGTGGAGACGGAAGGGCCGCGTGGTCGACCTGAGGAACCGCTGGAGTGAGTGTGGCGCGTGACTCGACTCAGGGACCGTGGGACTTGTGGGACTTGTGGGACCGGGTCTTTCCTCGTGTCCTTCTCGGGCTCGTGCACCTTACGCCTCAAACCCTCCGCCCCGCGCACAAACATGGCGCAGCTCCGTGTTTACACCACATCAGACCCGCGCGCTGTGGACCTGGACCCGGACCCGGACCCGGACTCTGACCCGAGGACTGTACTTCCCAAACTGACTTGAATTGGTTTGATACTGGAGATTAGACACATTGAGAGACATTTAACTTGTCCTACATGTCCTTTTTTTTTTTTGTTTTGTTTTGTTTTTTTCAAACAACTGATGACTTCTTCAGAATCTAGAGTAAATATCACAAGACTAATTATTTAAAAAATCACACTATGACCTGATTTCGTGCATATTTGTGAATTCAAGACTCATTTGATGCACAGACTTGGACAAAATTGTTTGTTTCCCTCTAGAAAGGAAAGAAAAATCAACAATGGTCAATGTTTTATTTTTATTTTTTTAATAATTCCAGTTTTATACACTGTGATATTTACCCTGGTTGATTATGAAGACATGCAAGTTGTTTGAAAAAAATCTGGGACGTGTATCATAAGTTAAATGTCTTAGAATGTGTCGAATCTCCAATATCTAACGGCGACTTTCAAAACTCAAGGTTAGTGTGACCAGATTTTCAAAATAAAATCTGGGACATGCCTGGTTTTTGATGCCACTGGAAAAAAACAACAACAAAAAAACAAAACAATACCTAGTAGGGACGTTACAATAACTGAAATATTGTGATATCGTATCGTCAAAAGTCTCCCAAAATATCGAATCGCAAGTTCCTTTGCTTAAATTCATGGTTTTATAGAAGCAACAGTTTATAAACATCATCAACTACATTTCCCATGATTCATTTCAGCGCAGAAAACATGAAGAAAAATGTTTTTACTTGAATTCTTGGGATTATGACGAAAATAATTCACACCAGAATTTTGAACAAAAAACAAAACAGCTCTTCAAAATATCACAATAAATATCACAGACCGAGAGATTTGGATTCCATTACATCAATAATATCTGTAAGTTAAAATGACTTAAATTAAGAAAATGTGACTTTATTTGAGCAGATTCAACTTGTCAAGTCAAATGGTCGACCAGTGAAATAAGTTTGTTTTTCTTAATTCAAGCAACATTACATTTAGTTTCTTATTTGAAGTGTAAAAAGTAGTTGTTTTTCTTATTTTAAGTGCAGTAAGATGTGTTTTCTTATTCCTCTGGTTGATCATTTTACTTTTCATGTGAGATTGACTCAAATGATGTTGAAACATTTTTAATTCTCGTCATCTGAACTTGTCTAGATAAATCATTTCCAGTGTGGTAATGATAAAATTGTGAAAGGAGTGTGTGGTTAAAGAGAATATTTCTGCACTCAGCCCTAAAATTAGTCAGTACAGTCACATTTTCTTTGTGTTTTTGTCGTTTTGAAGTAGATTTTCTGTATTTTACCGAGACAAATGTCGGTTTATGTTTCTCTTTACTGTTGACAGGAAATAAATTGGTCAAAAATGGAGACAAAGGGTCAAAAATTGGTTTTGTATAAATCTGAATTGAAAAGTTGAGCCCTGTGTCCCCTGTCCCAGCAGATTCGTCCAAGTTTTATACAAAAAATGTCCCAAGTGTCTCGATTTTGGACCAATTTGATCCTGTCAACAGTAAAAAAGAGACAAACTGACATTTGTTTTGGTAAAATACAGAAAAGCGGCTTAAAAACGACCAAAACACAAATAAACCGACTCATGTTTATCATAAATGATAAATACTTCTAAGTACTTTAAAATACTACTCAATACTTCTCAATACTTCTTCTAAATACTTCTAAGTACTACTACTAAATGCTACTAAATACTTCTAAATACTTTAAAATGCTACTCAATACTACTCATTACTACTCAGTACTGCTAAATACTTCTTGTAAATACTTCTAAATACTACTAAATACTTCTAAGTACTTTCAAATACTACTAAATGCTACTAAATACTTCTAAATACTTCTAAATACTTTAAAATGCTACTCAATACTACTCATTACTACTCAGTACTGCTAAATACTTCTTGTAAATACTTCTAAATACTTCTAAATACTTCTAAATATTTCTAAATACTACTCAATACTTCTAAATACTACTCAATACTTCTAAATACTTCTAAGTACTTTAAAATACTACTAAATACTACCAAATACTTCTAAATACTACCAAATACTTCTAAATACTACTAAATACTTCTAAATACTACTAAATACTACCAAATACTACTAAATACTTCTAAATACTACTAAATACTACCAAATACTACCAAATACTTCTAAGTACTACTAAATACTACTAAATACTTCTAAGTACTACTAAATACTACTAAATACTTCTAAATACTACTAAATACTTCTAAATACTACTCAGTACTACTCAGTACTACTCAATACTACTCAATACTTCTAAATACTACTCAATACTTCTAAATACTTCTAAGTACTTTAAAATACTACTAAATACTACCAAATACTTCTAAATACTACCAAATACTTCTAAATACTACTAAATACTTCTAAATACTACCAAATACTACTAAATACTTCTAAATACTACTAAATACTACCAAATACTACCAAATACTTCTAAGTACTACTAAATACTTCTAACTACTACTAAATACTTCTAAATACTACTCAGTACTACTCAGTACTACTCAGTACTTCTAAATGACTGAGCTTTTTGAGATTTGAAGTCTGTTTTCGTGTCGTTTGTCGTTTAAAACTTCAAATATTTGCAGTTGTGTTTGTTCGTTCTGGTGTTTTTGTGTTTCTGTAGAGTCGTTCTCTTCATCCACTCGTCCAAAACACACGAAGCTCCTCCGTGTTTTTAAAGTTCACACCCCAAAACTGATCCCCCCCCAATCTGCAGAGACACAAGACGAGGCTCAAAACTGGGACTGTCCAGAGTTTAAAAAAAAAAAAAAAAAAAAAAAAAGGACGTCTGGTCGAGGTTCTTCAGGTTTAAAGTGTTTTTTTCAGACACTTTTGCAGGAGATTTTCTGAACTAAAAACTCTGATCATGTGAAATATCAATGACACCGGTCGGAGTTTAATTATGACTCAGACTCAGACTCAGACTCTTATCACAGCCTGACCCACTTTTATTTGCTCTGTGATTCACTGTGTGTTTAAAGCTGCACTGTGTAACTTTTCTGGCAGAGATGTTATTGCTTTGTCCGGAAAGTTCCACAGTCTCATAATAATAAATAATAGATAATAAATAATAGATAATAAATAATAAATAATAGATAATAAATAATAGATAATAAATAATAATAATAGATAATAAATAATAAATAATAGATAATAAATAAATAATAGGCTCTTCACCAGCTTCTGGTGCTTGGGCCCAATAATAATAATAATAATAATAATAATAATAATAATAATAATAATAAAAAATACATTTTTTTTAGGCATCTTTACTTTACTCAATGACATTTTTATATAAAGTAAAGTACAGTAAAGTAAAGGTCTAAATACTACCAAATACTACTAAATACTACCAAATACTTCTTAATACTTCTAAATACTACCAAATATTACCAAATACTTCTAAATACTACTAAATGCCAAATACTACTAAACACTACAAAATACTTGTAAACACTACAAAATACTTGTAAATACTACAAAATACTTCTTAATACTAAATACCACTATATTCTACTAAATACTACATAATACTACTAAATACTTCTAAATACCACCAAATACTTCTAAATACTACCAAATACTTCTAAATACCACCAAATACTTCTAAATACCACCAAATACTTCTAAATACCACCAAATACTTCTAAATACTATATAATACTATACAGTATAATACCATATAATACTTCTAAATACTATTAAATACTTGTAAATACTACTAAATACTTCTTAATACTAAATTCTACTAAATACTACATAATACTACATAATACTACTAAATACTATATAATACTTCCAAATACTACTAAATACTACTAAATACTATGAAATCTGAGACTAAAGGCTCCAAATCAGAACTGGACCAGGTCTAAACCAGAACAGATCCAGGTCAGATCTGTGGAGAGGCGACTCTGCTCAGAATGTTTGTGTCTGTTTGTTTTTCTGGGGATTTTTCAGACATAAAACCTCCTGTAACTGAATAAAAGTGAAGTGGAGCAGTTTCACGTCACAGTGTGGAACAAGACGGTGACGGACTCTCCAAAACAACGTGGAAAAGTTCCAGAGTGCAGCTTTAAGAGTTTGTTTTATTGCTGGTGTGGAGCAGATCCTGGTGCTGTTGTCTGTGTGAGGAATGCAGTTTCTCTTCACTCTGCAGGCGGCTGTCGGGGCTTGTTTAGAGCCTGAGGCAGTGGAGCAGTGAGGAGCTGTGAGGAGCAGTGAGGAGCAGTGAGGAGCAGTGAGGAGCTGTGAGGAGCAGTGAGTGAGGAGCTGTGAGGAGCAGTGAGGAGCAGTGAGGAGCTGTGAGGAGCTGTGAGGAGCAGTGAGGAGCAGTGAGGAGCAGTGAGGAGCTGTGAGGAGCTGTGAGGAGCAGTGAGGAGCAGTGAGGAGCAGTGAGGAGCTGTGAGGAGCTGTGAGGAGCAGTGAGGAGCAGTGTGGAGCAGTGAGGAGCAGTGAGGAGCAGTGAGGAGCAGTGAGGAGCAGTGAGGAGCTTGTGTGGAGCTGTGAGGAGCAGTGTGGAGCTGTGTGGAGCTGTGAGGAGCTGTGAGGAGCAGTGAGGAGCAGTGAGGAGCTGTGAGGAGCTGTGAGGAGCTGTGAGGAGCTGTTTGTAGAGCTGTGAGGAGCTGTGTGGAGCTGTGTGGAGCTGTGAGGAGCTTTGAGGAGCTGTGAGGAGCTGTGAGGAGCAGTGAGGAGCAGTGAGGAGCTGTGAGGAGCTGTGAGGAGCTGTGAGGAGCTGTGAGGAGCAGTGTGGAGCTGTGTGGAGCAGTGAGGAGCTTTGAGGAGCTGTGAGGAGCAGTGAGGAGCAGTGAGGAGCTTTGAGAGCTGTGAGGAGCTGTGTGGAGCTGTGTGGAGCTGTGAGGAGCAGTGAGGAGCAGTGTGGAGCTGTGAGGAGCTGTGAGGAGCAGTGAGGAGCTTTGAGGAGCTGTGAGGAGCAGTGAGGAGCAGTGAGGAGCTTTGTAGAGCTGTGAGGAGCTGTGTGGAGCTGTGTGGAGCTGTGAGGAGCTTTGAGGAGCTGTGAGGAGCTGTGAGGAGCTGTGAGGAGCAGTGTGGAGCTGTGAGGAACTGAGGAGCAGTGTGGAGCAGTGTGGAGCAGTGAGGAGCTGTGAGGAGCAGTGAGGAGCTGTGAGGAGCAGTGAGGAGCAGTGAGGAGCAGTGAGGAGCTGTGAGGAGCTGTGAGGAGCAGTGAGGAGCAGTGAGGAGCTGTGTGGAGCTGTGAGGAGCTGTGAGGAGCTGTGAGAGGAGCAGTGTGGAGCAGTGTGGAGCTGTGTGGAGCAGTGAGGAGCAGTGAGGAGCAGTGAGGAGCTGTGAGGAGCAGTGTGGAGCTGTGTGGAGCTGTGAGGAAGCTGTGAGGAGCTGTGAGGAGCAGTGAGGAGCAGTGAGGAGCAGTGAGGAGCAGTGAGGAGCTGTGAGGAGCTTTGTGAGGAGCAGTGAGGAGCTGTGAGGAACTGTGAGGAGCAGTGAGGAGCAGTGAGGAGCAGTGAGGAGCTGTGAGGAGCTCTGGGAACCTCTGAGGAACCTCTTTACACCCTGGAGCTGTCACACCTGTTTGTGTTTGTGGTCTTTGCTCAGATTTCTTCATTGTTGTTGTTGATTACATGGAGATGAACTCTGACTCTGCTCAGAGGAAACAGATCCGTCCTCTCCAGGTCCGAGTCTGGTCCGAGTCTGGTCCGAGTCTGGTCCGAGTCTGGTCTGTCTCTGGTCTGTCTCTGGTCTGTCTCTGGTCTGTCTCTGGTCTGGATCAGGTCCGTGTCTGGACTTGTTCGTTCCGGAGGTGCAGGTGTGAAGCTGCTTCATTCAACCTCGTCCTTTTGATCCCGATCTGTGTACAACATAATGCAGCTCTGTGATTGGTTAGTTCCACCTGTCACTCACTCGGAGCGTGACACAGGCTGACCAATAGGAAGAGAGGGCGGGAAAAAACTGAATCCCAGTGTGCTCTGTGTCGTGTCACATTCACACGTTTCAAACAAAATCCCTCAAAAAAACAAGAAAACAACTGCATGAAATGTATTTTTTAGAATCAGCTGAGTGAAGAATACAGTTTATTTTTGGAAGTTTAGCATCATAAACGTGTTCGCTGGTGAACGTTTGTTGAGGCGACGCTTTAAAACTTGTAGAACATTCAGAGTTTTCACCATAAACTCACGACTCTAAATGTAAACGACAGACCTGAACTCACCTGCACAGACAAACACAAATCTACATAAAAACTGTCAATCGTTTCAAAAAGTTTGTTTGTGTGATTTTGGTTCTTAAGATGTTCAACTGTTTATTTTGGGTCAATGAGTCAAAATGTGAAACAGCCTCAAAACAGCAGAAAATGAAACCAAACATTTGTATTTGGTTTGTGCAGTTTTGTGTGTGACTGTTTTCATTCGTTCGAGTTTATTTCAAAAATTATTATTTATAATAATTACAATAATTATTATTATTTTTGTGCAGATTATATGAGGTCATTTTCATTCAGCTGATGCAGTGACTTTAACAAAACTCCACAAAGGCTCATTCCATTTCAACAAGTGGCCCACGTACTTCGATCTCAAAAAATTCTGAAAAAATTACCAGCTGGTCCCAGACTATTATGTACCAACCCTGTGAAATTTTTGTGATTTTTGATAATTGCTTTTCAAGTTACAGCTCGTTTAGTGAGGGGAGGATGTGTCCATTTACAGGCCCAAAATCGCGTCATTTTTTCTCGTCCGTTTTCACAGGTCGATATCTCCATAAGTATCACACATACGGGGCTGAAATTCTCTAGGCTTGTGCTCCTTTACTCTGTGTTCAAATAAAATCTATCAAAAGTTTGTATCTCAACTCATTGTCATTTTATATGAACTTAAAAATGAAAAAAAACTTGTTCATTTCCGTGTCCGTTCCATTTTTAGCCCCTTTTTAAACCTACTTGTAGGTGTAATAGACCCTTCAATTTTTTTGAGAATCAAGATTTGTACTAGGACTGTTAAAAAAAATCACCAAATGTTGAAAATTTGAAATGTGTTATGTGTGAGGCTCCTGTTAAAAACAAGAAAACATAACATGGTCCGATTTTCACATGTCATTTATGGTATGTGGGTAGTGACAAAAAATTTTGAATATTTTTTTCCTGAAAGACCAGAAAAAGACCTTTCATATTGGTACCAAACATATGTATTTTATGAAGCTTCTTAAATTTTTTATTGTATCTTGAACATTCACATTCAAATAAAAAAAAAAAAACATGATGCGTGAGATTTTCTGGAAATTTGATGAAATGGCGTGGAATGAAACGACCTGAGGCTGTGGAAAAGTCTGTTTCAGTCTTTAGTAATTTGATTTTGATTCATATTTTCTATAGTAACACAGACTTTTCCACAGACTCGTCGTTTCTCTTCACGAGTTTTGTGGAGTTTTGTTAAAGTCGCTGTCGTCAACTGAGCGGAAATGACCTCATAAAAATTCTGCAAAGATAATAATGAATAATTTTAGACATTTGTACTGATTTCTGTCTCTGCGTGGATGATGTTTGTCACCACAGCGACGCTCGTGCCGATGTTTGTGCGAGAGATGCTATCGATCCTATTTCGATATGTTTTAAGATGCAAAAAAAAATCCCACGGTGGAAAAGTGATGTATAAAAATGTGACCATGAATCGTAAAAGCCCCTTCACCTGACCTCTGACCCCTGACCTCTGACCCTGACCCTGACCGTGTGTTTGTGTCGCAGGTGAACAGCCCCGAGGACCCATCATCTCAGACATCTCAGTGAAGCATGGTCAGTACCTCATCCTCCCGCGCTCTGTTCTTCTGCTGATGTTTCGTCGTGTTCTTCTGCTGATGTTCCATGTTCTCTGTTCTTCTGCTGATGTTCCGTTCTGTTCTTCTGCTGATGTTTCGTCGTGTTCTTCTGCTGATGTTCCGTTCTGTTCTTCTGCTGATGTTCCGTGTTCTTCAGCTCTGTGTTTTCTGTTCTTCTGCTGATGTTCCGTTCTGTTCTTCTGCTGATGTTCCGTTCTGTTCTTCTGCTGATGTTCCGTGTTCTTCAGCTCTGTGTTCTGTTCTTCTGCTGATGTTTCGTCGTGTTCTTCTGCTGATGTTCCATGTTCTTCAGCTCTGTGTTTTCTGTTCTTCTGCTGATGTTCCGTTCTTCTGCTGATGTTCCGTTCTGTTCTTCTGTTGATGTTCCGTTCTGTTCTTCTGCTGATGTTTCGTCGTGTTCTTCTGCTGATGTTCCATGTTCTTCAGCTCTGCGTTTTCTGTTCTTCTGCTGATGTTCATGTTCTTCTTCAGCTCTGCGTTTTCTGTTCTTCTGCTGATGTTCCGTTCTGTTCTTCTGCTGATGTTCCGTTCTGTTCTTCTGCTGATGTTCCGTTCTGTTCTTCTGCTGATGTTCCGTTCTGTTCTTCTGCTGATGTTTCGTCGTGTTCTTCTGCTGATGTTCCATGTTCTTCAGCTCTGCGTTTTCTGTTCTTCTGCTGATGTTCCGTGTTCTTCAGCTCTGTGTTCTGTTCTTCTGCTGTTGTTCCGTTCTGTTCTTCTGCTGATGTTCCGTTCTTGTTCTTCTGCTGATGTTCCGTTCTGTTCTTCTGCTGATGTTCCGTTCTGTTCTTCTGCTGATGTTCCGTTCTGTTCTTCTTCTGCTGATGTTCCGTGTTCTTCTGCTGATGTTCCGTTCTGTTCTTCTGCTGATGTTTCGTTCTGTTCTTCTGCTGATGTTCGTTCTGTTCTTCTGCTGATGTTTCGTCGTGTTCTTCTGCTGATGTTCCGTGTTCTTCAGCTCTGTGTTCTGTTCTTCTGCTGATGTTCCGTTCTGTTCTTCTGCTGATGTTCCGTTCTGTTCTTCTGCTGATGTTCCGTGTTCTTCAGCTCTGTGTTTTCTGTTCTTCTGCTGATGTTCCGTTCTGTTCTTCTGCTGATGTTCGTTTCTGTTCTTCTGTTGATGTTCCGTGTTCTTCAGCTCTGTGTTCTGTTCTTCTGCTGATGTTTCGTGTGTTCTTCTGTGATGTTCATGTTCTTCGCTCTGCGTTTTCTGTTCTTCTGCTGATGTTCCGTGTTCTTCTGCTGATGTTCCGTTCTGTTCTTCTGCTGATGTTCTGTTCTGTTCTTCTGCTGATGTTTCGTCGTGTTCTTCTGCTGATGTTTCATGTTCTTCAGCTCTGTGTTCTGTTCTTCTGCTGATGTTCATGTTCTTCAGCTCTGCGTTTTCTGTTCTTCTGCTGATGTTCCGTTCTGTTCTTCTGCTGATGTTCCGTTCTTTTCTTCTGCTGATGTTCCGTTCTTGTTCTTCTGCTGATGTTCCGTTCTGTTCTTCTGCTGTTTCGTCGTGTTCTTCTGCTGATGTTCCATGTTCTTCAGCTCTGCGTTTTCTGTTCTTCTGCTGATGTTCCATGTTCTTGTTTTTCAGTTCTTCTGCGTGTTTTCTGTTCTTCTGCTGATGTTCCGTTCTGTTCTTCTGCTGATGTTCCGTTCTGTTCTTCTGCTGATGTTCCGTTCTGTTCTTTTCTGCTGATGTTTCCGTTCTGTTTCTTCTGCTGATGTTCCGTTCTGTTCTTCTGCTGATGTTTCCGTGTTCTTCTGCTGATGTTCCGTTCTGTTCTTCTGCTGATGTTTTCTGTCTTCTCTGATGTTCGTTCTGTTCTTCTGCTGATGTTTCGTCGTGTTCTTCTGCTGATGTTCCGTGTTCTTCAGCTCTTCGTGTTCTGTTCTTCTGCTGATGTTCCGTTCTGTTCTTCTGCTGATGTTCCGTTCTGTTCTTCTGCTGATGTTCCATGTTCTTCAGCTCTGTGTTCTGTTCTTCTGCTGATGTTTCGTCGTGTTCTTCTGCTGATGTTCCGTTCTGTTCTTCTGCTGATGTTCCGTTCTGTTCTTCTGTTGATGTTCCTGTTCTTCTGTTGATGTTCTTCTGTTCTTCTGTGATTTTCTGTTCTTCTGCTGATGTTCCTTCTGTTCTTCTGGTGATGTTCCTGTTCTTGTTCTTCTGCTGATGTTCGTTCTGTTCTTCTGCTGATGTTCCGTTCTGTTCTTCTGCTGATGTTCCGTTCTGTTCTTCTGCTGATGTTCCGTTCTGTTCTTCTGCTGATGTTCCGTTCTGTTCTTCTGCTGATGTTCCGTTCTTTTCTTCTGCTGATGTTCCGTTCTGTTCTTCTGCTGATGTTCCGTTCTGTTCTTCTGCTGATGTTCCGTTCTGTTCTTCTGCTGATGTTCCGTTCTGTTCTTCTGCTGATGTTCCGTTCTGTTCTTCTGCTGATGTTCCGTTCTGTTCTTCTGCTGATGTTCCGTTCTGTTCTTCTGCTGATGTTTGGTGTTCTTCTGCTGATGTTCGTTTTGTTCTTCTGCTGATGTTCCGTTCTGTTCTTCTGCTGATGTTCCGTTCTGTTCTTCTGCTGATGTTCCGTTCTGTTCTTCTGCTGATGTTCCGTTCTGTTCTTCTGCTGATGTTCCTTGTTCTTCTGCTGATGTTCCGTTCTGTTCTTCTGCTGATGTTCCGTTCTGTTCTTTTGCTGATGTTCCGTGTTCTTCTGCTGATGTTCCGTGTTCTCCAGCAGGCTCCAGTGCTCCAGGAGAAGGTGCGGATGGTCAGCAGGGGGTGGTCAAGAGGTTCAGCGCCCTCTTCACGTCTTTGCGCAAAATAAAGAGAGACCGTGAGTCTTCAGATTTACAGAATTATAAGAAAGAAACCAGGTCTAAACCAGGTCTAAACCAGGACTAAACCAGGACTAAACCAGGACTAAACCAGGACTAAACCAGGACAAAACCAGGACTAAACCAGGACTAAAACCAGGACTAAACCAGGACTAAACCAGGACTAAACCAGGTCTAAACCAGGACTAAAACCAGGTCTAAACCAGGTCTAAACCAGGTCTAAACCAGGACTAAACCAGGACTAAACCAGGACTAAACCCAAGCTAAAACCAGAGCTAAACTAGGAACTAAACCAGGACTAAACTAGGAACTAAACCAGGACTAAAGAAGGACTAAACCAGAATTAAACTAGGACTAAACCAGGACTAAACCAGGACTAAATCCAGAAGTAAACCAGGACTAAACTAGAACTAATCCAGGACTAAACCAGGACTAAACCCAAGCTAAAACCGGGTTTTAGCTCGACACATAAGTCCACAGCTAAACCAGGTCTAAACCAGAGCTAAAAACTAATAGACTAAACCAGGACTAAACCAGGACTAAACCAGGACTAAACCAGGACTAAACCAGGACTAACCCTCTGTTATACTGTTTTCTGTGCAGGGACCAAAGACCCGGAGCCGCCGGAGCCGCTGGGCCCGCTGGTGGAGGACCGGCAGCAGCGTTACGCCAGTGGACAGTACTTCTTCGAGTACCTGGTGGTGGTCGGTCTGAAGAAGGGCAGAGATGAGGGCAGCTACGAGCCGCAGATCTCCTACCAGTTCCCCAAGGTCTGCGACTCCAGCTTCTGATCCGGGCTCGAACCATGTTTTCTCCTCACAAAAAGACCTGGAGTTGTGTTTTGTTTCATTCAAATGTTTTCTGTCCATCATCTCCAAAACTCCAAATGCTCTGGTCCACCTCACGACGCCGTTTTGTTCATTAGAGTTTGGTTTTTCCAAGGCTCAAGGAGGAAACTTTATAAGAGTGAAGAGAAAGTGGGGTAATGCAGTCGCTTTAATCACTGTGACAGAAAAGTGAGGATATAAATAAAAGTGTTTATAGAAGGTGAGTCTGGCTGAGTGCAGCAGAACAGAGCTCAGAAGCACGACCGCTGGAAACGAGGCTTTAGTTTAGGTTTCGTTTATACGACGAGGGTCTGAACAGAAGACGCAAAAGTGGCGTCGCGTCTTCACTTTTTATTCCGCGTTTAGTCGAGTGTTTTCAGGAGTAAATCTGCTGCACACGGTCAAGCAAAAGTGTGTGGAATTGGATTGGGTATGAGTTTCATTAGTTACTTCTTCCATAAAGTCGTCCCGGTTGACTGGTTCTCCAGGTCTCGTCCAGATCCGTCTGACTCGACTGCGACGACCTGGTGCATCCAGAATTTGACAGAAGTTACTGCAGATCCTTCTCTGTTCACTAAGGCTACGTTCAGTCTGCACCTGAAGTGACCCAAATCAGATTTTTTGGCCTTTATGTTCCTGTATCTGATCTTTTAATGACTTTTTTCATCAAGGGCCACATTTCTAAACACAGACGAAGCAGAGGGACGATCGAGGGCCGTAGACTGATGGTGAATACAGTGAATAATTCAAATATGTGCAGGTTTAACACGTTAGAATGAGCCATCAGTCTTTATTCATGCTGTTACTTAAAACAACACACTAAATATTAAATATTCGCTCTATCAAGATAGATTTTCAAAAAACTTGCAGTAAAAAGTTCATTTTTAATTGATGCAAGGTCATTTGGGCCAAGAAAAATTTGTCTGAGGGCCGCATTTGGCCCACGGGCCATAGTTTGGACATGCCTGGTCTAGTGTTTTCTGATTCCTGATCTAGTCGCTGGAGAGAAATGAAATTGAGCGGAGACACTAGGTGGCACCAGCCTGAGTAGATTTTGTGTAACTTTCCATACTATGCCCCAGTGAAGGGGCATGGACCAGGGCTGTTCTCCTCCTCCCCTGTCCTCATGTTTTGCTGCAGTGTTTATTCTTGTTTGTCTGTCTCCTGGTCTGGTCCATGTCTAGTCTCCCCATGTCATACTGAATGTGTTTGTGTTTGTGATGTTCGGACGGGGTGGCAGGTCCAATTTCGATTCCTTTGTGTGTCCAGTACCTGTGAAGAAATAGACAATAAAGGCCATAAAGGTTATTCTTTCATGTATTCATTCGGCTCTGGTTCTTTCAGAGGGACGGGATGGGCCGCTCTCAAAGAGAGGAGGAAGAGAAGATCCTGAAGGCCATCACGCTCTTCTGTTTCCCAGAGGGCATTAACTGGGCTCCTCTGACCGAATATCACAGGTACTGACCCCTGACTGACCCCAACCTGACCCCAACCTGACCCTGACTGACCTGTGCTGTTGTGTTTCAGTGAGACCTTCTCGTTCGTCCTGACGGAGATCGATGGGAGCAGGAGGAACGGTTACTGCAGGAGGCTGCTGGTCAGTACTGTCCCTCACATCACAAAAATATCAGTATATCGAAATATCGCGATACTATAGTTCAGGAGAGTCAAACTAATTTTGTTCCGGGGGCCGTGTCCAACCTGCTTTGATCCCAATGAGGCCGGATCAGAAAACTCATGTCATATAAACCCCAAAAATAACAATAAATTCAAATATTTGTGCAGAGAAACACAAATCTATTACAGAAATCTTTTTTAATTGATGAACTCTTTCTTTTACAAAATATTATTATATTATGAACAACCTGAAACTTTAAGAAAAAATACAATTTCAACACAAAGTTTTAACATTAACTTGTGCAAACAGGAATAAGTCAATTTTTGTTGTAAAATCCTGCACTCGGCTCCACTTTTCTCATGTTGGACATTTTTCTGATGAGGGTGTCACGGTCAACAGTCAAAACGATCGTCCTTTAAGAGCGTTTGGAAAGAGACAAGTCTTCATTTGTGCTGCTCTGGTGGGAGGGGCCACGTACAGAGACGCTGGAGACGCTGCTGTGATAAACACCACAGAAAATTAACAAGATTTTAATAGAAAATATAATTAAAATATTTGAGTAGAAAATCAGTCGTGTTGTGTGTCGTGTGTGTCATTTGTGTGTTGTGTTGTGTGTCATGTGTGTGTCATGTGTGTCATTTGTGTGTTGTGTTGTGTGTCATGTGTGTGTCATGTGTGTCATTTGTGTGTTGTGTTGTGTGTGTGCAGCCCGGGGGAAAAGGAGCTCGTCCTCCAGAGGCCTACTGCATCATCAGTCGAGTGGCCTGCTTCGGACTCTTCTCTAAGGTAAAACCCCAGACTGTGAGTAAATGTACACGTCTCTAAACCGCCGCCCGACACGTTCAAAACAGAGAGAGACTTTACTGATCCTGAGGGAAAATCAAGTTTTGCTGCGGCGACATTTCCACTCTGCGTCTCAGGTTACGTTTACACCGAAACGAATCACTGTATCGGAAACGATTTGCGTCCAGACACGTCGTTTCTGTGTCCCCGATCAAAGTCTTCCCTCCGCACAGTAACGCGAAACCGCCTGAAACACTGGTCACATGACTAGACTGGCATAAGGAGCGAATCGCAGTGACGTGGTCCAATAAGGACGCGACTAGAGCTCCTACGTCAGAGTATCGGTGTTTTCAGGCATCCACACTGTGCCGGATCAGATCTGTACGAACATGAATTCGTGGGAGCTGGAGGCACCAGATCGTTCCGTCTCTGGAGCCGTTTTCCATCGGGTTAGTGTGAACAACACTACGGAAGCCGAGAAGGGTCACAACAAATGCAAACGCCGCAACAAATACAAAAGCTACAACACACCAAAAAAAAAGCCATAACGGAAATGACCGCGGGACTCTTATTTTAATGCAAACGCCACAACTACTACAACTACAACGTGAAACAAATAATGATAAAACAATAAATTACTTTTACTTACGTTTCCAACTTCTCCGTTCCTTTACTTTTCATGTTGTAGTTCTTCACTTGACGCTTGATCGGTCCGTCGGAAAACACAGTCCCGCGGTCACTTCCGTTGTGGCTTTTTAATGTGTTGTGGCTTTTAATGTGTTGTGGCTTTTTAATGTGTGTGTTGTGGCTTTTTAATGTGTTGCGGCTTTAATGTGTTGTGGTTTTTAATGTGTTGTGGCTTTTTAATGTGTTGTGGCTTTTAATGTGTGCGTTTGCGTTGTGTTGTGGTGTTTGATTTGTTGCGGCGTTTGCATTAAAATAGAGTCCCGCGGTCATTTCCGTTGTGGCTTTTTTTGGTGTGTTGTGGCTTTTTGTCGTGTTGTCGCGTTTGTTTTTGTCGCGGCGTTTGCGTTTGTTGTGACCCCTCTCGGCTTCCGTAGAACACTGCACCCACAACGAAAACGACTCGAATACGACTAGTGTGGACGGGGCCTCAGCGTCCTTTGTGTCAGAGTCAAAGGTCTCCGGTCGGTTTCACAGGACGACTGGTCAGGGTCAGATCTGTGTCAGGGCAGTTTGAGGAGAGGAAGGGCTCTCAGGACAAAAGTGTTCCTCCTGTGTCCTGCAGCGTCACAGCAGCCTCCAGGTGGCGCCAGGTGAACACAACAGGAAAGGTTCTTTATTTACTCCGCTCTGGTGTTTCTGTTGGCGATAAAATGGATCATTTCCTCCAAGTGTTTCCTCTGGAAGGTTTTCTGACACATTTGCTGCCACACATGGTGTAAAAATTCTTAAATGTCCTTAGCTCTTGGCACGGTTTCCATGGATACGAGACAAAACAAACAGCTTTGCTCTGCCGTGAGTCTCGACACTGTCCACGTTTACATGATGTTTTTTTAATTCCGAATGAATTGTTCTGAATTAAAATATCCTCCAAGTTTACACGGAAATAATAATGTTGAATTGTTTCTGTGTTAAACTTGTTAAATGTTCTTTATTTAATGTGTGTGAGCGTCTGGGGCGGGGAAGGTTCTGATTGGACAGAGACACAAACGGATTTACGTCTTTGGGAAGAAAACTCACACTTCAGCTGCTCCCGGCTTTTCTGTCATCTTGGTTTGTCGTTTCTCCACGGACACAAACACCGTCCAAACTTCTTTAAGCTTAAGTTTAATTCGGGATAATAATTTTCATTAGGAATTAAGTGTTTATATGTAAATGTGGCAATTTTGGTCTTAAAATGTTCGCATTAATCCGCTCGACATGATCCTGCTGTTTTTATTTAGCTTTTTTGTCTGTAATTAATTTCTGATATTGACCTGGCTCCACCTACGCCTCTGTAACATTTAGTTTATCAGAAGTTTCACACTGTGGGCCTCTTCACCCTTCCTCAGTCCACTTCCTCCTTCAGTCTGACGTAACCGCACACCACACGTCTTTATCTCGAGCGCATGTGTCCAGTCAGCAGACGAGCTGTGAAACCTGTGGTCACCGTGGCTCTGACAGTTTGGGTGGTGTTGAATTAAAGTTGTACTAACGTTTTTGTAGAGATGCACCTGCTTGTTTACATGGAGGTTTTATTTCTCTGTCAGGATTGTTGGCATTAAAGGGCCACTTTTTTTCTCCTGATTCTCTGTGTAAATGTGTTTAAAATAGAAGTGTGTTTCTGTCTTATTTTGGTATTTTAGTGCAGATTTGTTAAAAATGTGACTTTTGGGTGACTGATGTATCGAGTTAGGCTTTGTTTATGTCATTTTACAGATCTTCCTGAAGCGACACACATTTTTTCAGTTTGTAATAACAATATAATCCTCATTTGCTCACTTGATCATATTTTTAAAGATTTTTTGTCTTGTTCCTGATGTCCTATTAGCCTGATTCTTGAGTCTGTTTGACTTGGTGTAAACCGTGTGACCTGCAGCATTAGGATTCGTTCACTCGACAGTAGACGGGGACTTTTTTTATTGAACCAATCGTTGTTGTTTGGTCGTGACGTTTGTAAAGCTCCAAATCCTGTAGGAAGAAGGACAATAACGTCTTTACCTGAGATAAAATTCACCAAACATTCTCTTTGTTCCGGCTTTAAATCCTCGATCTCGGGAATCGTTGCCAACACAGAATGTCTGACTCTTCTCTGATTGGTCGGTGCACTTTCTACAACTTCCAGGGTTCTTGAAAAATGTTGATTTGGGAAGAAATATGAATTATTTCTTTACCTGCTGCCGTGAACGTAATTTGTAAACAGCGCAACACAAGAAACTTGTCAAAAAATCACTTTTAGGAAGGTAAAAATGTGTTGAGATACTGTGTTTTCCACACTATTAGGCGCTCTGGTCTATTTTCGAACTTTTTTCACAAATAAACCTCGTGGGACTTTAAATGAAACCCAACAGTGTGATGGGTGAGTGGTTTTGTTTGTTTGTTCGTTCACGGTGACTCTGGGCTTTGTTCAGTTGTGGCGTGTAGGGAGGGTGTGTCTGGGACCAACGGATTGTCGGCGTGTTCGCAGTGACTCAGTTGTTCAGTCGTGTCTAGAAGCGGCACGTTGCGCTCGTCGCTTTTTTCGGTTCGTTCCTCCGTTCCGTTCCTCGTCGGCGTGGAGTGATGAGTGTGTGTGTGGGGTGTGTTTCGCTGTGTGTTTGTGTGTTCTGTGTGGTGTGTGTTTGTAGTTTACTTTGAAGTCGTGCTGGGACACCTGAGTGGATTTGGGTTTGGGGCACTCCGGATTGTGCGGCGCAGTCCTTTTTTAAGCGATTAGAGGCTTAAAGGTTGTATGGAGGATTTTTTATATATTTTTTTGTTTCAAATTGTCAATGAAAGTTCAAAATAGCGTTACAGAGACGCAGCAGCTTTGGAATTATGAAGACCAAAAAAAAAAAAACTATGAAAATCCATCAACTGCGGACAGATAAACATCAGCCAGTAGATAAAGAGGCTGCCTCATTTTCTATTGGCTGTTGGGTTGTCAATCAAACTCCCTACGTTTCTAGTGTAACTGACTCTCCGGCGCGTGAGGATTACGTGGTTTATGCGGCGGTTCTTAGAGGCTTTTTCTAACTGTCGCTTCCTCACAATTCGCACAAAGTTTGTTGCGACGGCGGACGAGAATCCACGACCAGTTCGCCGCAAAACAAAGTCGGTTTTTGAGGTCGATGAAAGAAGAAGAGAAGAAGGAGAAAAGGAGCGAAGACAAACTGAGGTGATTCTTGGAGATTCCTTCCAGCGATGGCGCGACTGAAGCAGACGAAGGGTCTAAAAACTGACGCGTCGGTCGCTAAAATATTTCTAGACAGGAAACTTCAACAGTAATTCTGAACGAGGCTGTAAACAAACGTGATTTCTAGAGTAAAGTAGATGTTTCTACTGAGGAGCTGTGGAGGAGGAAGGTGGCGTCACACATGCACAACATTTGAAAAAAGGACTGTCGCTGTATTTCACTTCCCTTAAAAAAAATCCTCTATACAACCTTTAAGAGCGCGCCTGGAAAATATGGTTTATTGTAATTTACTTAAGTAATTAATACAATATATATAATGCAATTTTTTTATTTATATGTACATAGATTAACTAACAAACGGTACAATTCAGAGGGACTTTCCAGCTGATTGCTCTGTACCGGCGCCTTTAGGATCAACTACGGTCACGACATTTGAGTGTTGGACTCACGGCGCCGATGAGTCAGACGCAGGTTGTTACGTGACGAGCGCAGACGCTGCCGTTTACGGGCGGGACGTGATTAGCCCCTCTCAGCCCTGCCCCCACCTGGCACCACCGGGCACCGCCATGCTCCACCGTGTCTGGAGAAAAGGGAATCGGCGTGATCCGAGCACAAATATCCGCTCTGTTTCAAAGTCCGGAGACACCGTGTTGGATTGTTGTGGCTCTTGGTCGGCTGTCAATCATCGCTCCATATTTTTTATTATTTGAAATCACAATATTGTTCTACCATCGTGTGTGTAAATGTGAAGAGCGAAAAATGCTCAAAATCAGATATTTTCAGGACAGACTCAATAATGAGACAAACTGAATCAGATCTGGAGGAAGGCTCCAAGATTATAGATTACAGACTTTAAACTAGTTTCATCAGATTTTGAATTTTAAATACCATTGAATTTCTCACTTTGAAATGTCTTAACTCTGAAAAATGTTGTTTGAAATGTTTGAAAATAATTTTAGTTGCTGAAATAAGTTAAATTTTTCCATGTGTTTTAAATTCAAAATAAAAATTTGACCTTTTAATTTTTCAGCACAAATATTTTCAAGCCCTCAAATTCAACTGAATTCAATTGTAACTGAATTGAATTTTGAATTTTAAACTCTTTGAAAATGGACACTTGAAATTTCAGCTATTTAAAATTCACGTGTCATGCTTTTTCAAAGCT